CCCCACCAACCTTAGTGGCTTGAGTTCCATTCCTGAACCTGGTGTCATATTTGAGTTAAGTTTGTTACCAGTCTTGTCTATGATCTGAGGTTTCTTCTCCAAGTTCCCGAAAGTATTATGGTATTAGAAATATTTCTGTCAAAATAAGAAGGCATGCCTCCCATCTAATATGAAACCCCCCTTCCAATTTCACCCTTTGACAATTAAGGGTGATTAGTATCTAATTTCTCTGTACAATATCACCCCTAATGCAAATGTTAAGGTCATGAGAATAAAGGAAATGATCACCAACTAAAGAAGCTCTTGATTGTTAAACAAATTCTCCTTTTCAACACCTTAGGAATGTATAGAGAATAGTATGGAAAATATGCATACTGATGGTTAATCAATTACATGACTAATTAACTTATATATTGACCTCAAAAGGGTGTGATTTAAACAAATGTGTGTTACAGAGGAATTTTACCCAATTTCTACCCAACGGTATTATAGCAGTAAGTTCAAAGGTTAACAAGATCAAGGACATCTAAGTACTATCATCACTTACTGAATGTTGTCACCGCCTGATAAGTCTCACAGTTGACACACCAGTTACCAATCTTCTGAGCACCCATTAACTCAGCACGTTTTTGAAGCTTCTCGACTGCAAGAGCCTGTTGGCCACTTTTTCCTTCTGGAAGTTCCACTGGAATCAAACTTGAGATTGATTTAAACTTGTGAGTTTAAAACAACGTGTTCAGAGATGGTGAAAAGCACTCTAGCCTTCTATTATGGACTTCTTGGTTCGAGTACACACTTTATAAACAGTTAGCGATCACATGGTTCACAAAATATCTTACTGGAAAGCAAATTTTTGCTTTGGACATCTCAAGCAAATCATCGTTGATTGATTTTCTTTTTCTCGATGTCCCAAAGAGAAATTCGCTCTCAAGCATTATTGTTCTTCACGCGTTAGAGTTAAGGTGGTCTTGATTCAAAGTACTACCGATTTGATAACTCACCAAGTTACTCCCATTCTAACCAGATTTATTACAGAACCTCTCCTTCACTCTGGTAGACAAGATCAAGCATCACTTTCCGAGGAAACTAACTTTTTACTACAGACTGTCTGACGAACGGAAATTCGGTTTAGCAGCCATCTTGGAACTTAGTCTCCGCGCGGCCCACTTTTTTCTCGTTTTGTTCAACTGCCCAGGGCTGCGCCGATTGCGAAGCGCACAAAGGCGCACGGGAACTCTTGGGGCGACAACGAGTAACATTTTTAAAATATGTTTCCTCTCCATTCTAATTTTTCAAAACCCTTCGACCTTGCAGCTTCATTTCAAAGAAAGCTTTGGAGAAAGGATTGGGAGGG